TCACAGGTGAAAATGTACCTTTTTGCCTTTAAGGTTAACCTTTGGTCCCTCCATTTGCCTAAAGTTGTGGTAAATTTAAGATACAATAAAGGATGCAGCAAATCACAATGGAATGCATTTCATATAAAAAGATAAGTTAAAAAACAGATAGAAAATTGCCTGAAAAGGCATTACTGCAGAGATAAATATTTAGACTGTATTACTTGATTATTTCACTATAACATTTTCTAAGAGTTTGTAATAACTTCTGTCAGAAATACAAATCTGGTTTCTTAGGCACTTCGATTCAATATTCAGGGTATCTGCTGTACCATATATAGTTTTGTATCTTTGATTCACAGTGTACCAGAAATCATGGAGTTTTGGTACTCAAGTGAGATTAAATTCTATATCCAGAATGTAGATTGTAAGTAGAGTTTAATTTAGAGTATCAGATAACCTGTATCCTATAGCCAGGAATGAAAGCTGACCTTGCAGATCATGTGGTTTCTTTGTTTTCCTGGCTAAGTGAAATGGCAGAACAATGAGGAGGCACAACCTTGAAACATTTATTTACAATGTAACACAACACATAGACTACTATTTACAAAGATGATAGTATCAATAAGGCCTTCTACAGTCCATAAGTATCCTCTCAAGTATAGGTACAGCAGCTTAGGAAAGTAATGGCTTTTTACTTTGGTTTCTAAATAAAAAAGACCCTTCACAGGATACAGGTTTATTCTATTTTTTCCATAGGTAGAAATGTTTGTGTCGTGGTTGTAGCTAAACCGGTTTCTCATATAATAAGATGCTCTTCAATTACCCACCATTTACATTTACAAACCCTGGGTCTACCAGTTTTGTAAATGTGAATGGTGGGTCACCAATGGTGGATCTAACAGTTGAACAGTTGGAAAGGACACTCTCATCAACCCCCTTATCCTGTAGAACCCTTATATGTAGAACCTAGGGTTCTACAAACTGCACAGCTCTCCAGACATAACAGAGCCAATAAACAGATGGTCCTAATGAGCCATCTGTGTGTCTCCCATTGATTTCTGGCTTGTATTGATTAAAAGGTACTGAACATGAAATGATTATATCACAATCCAAAATGTTAGAACTAGTATAGACACCAACACACAATATTATCATGCACATGTGGTGTATTGTATCAGGGAAAGAATACTGTACAGTATGTTTACAATGATTTTGAATATTCCTGAAATATATTCACCAATAGATGCCCCTCTTCTAAGAATGTACTTGACTCTGGAGTCCATGTTTGTGTCTCTTCCTATATTATTTTAAATACTCAGATGAGGAGATAACTAAAATAAAAAAAATAGCTTAAAGATGCTAAGATACATTTTGTAGAGGACTCACCTATTGATGTCTACTCTTTGCAATTATTTCTGATAGGTGCACTAAATTCTAAAAATGAGTTTTTGTTCTAGGGAGCTTTATAATAACTGGTACTAAATTAAGTACATACACCTCTCTGGTACTGCGATAATTTCATGTCAAACAATTCTTTTTGCCGCAGTCTTATTCAGCTCACTGCTTTTTTTTTTCAATTTTTCAATTTATTGCAACTTGCAATCAGCTTTGCTGAAAAATCTCTCCTCAGTTAATGTAGTGGTTGAACCCACACCAACATGAGAACATATGGTTTCAAGGGGCTTAAGCATACTTTCTAATGGTTCCTTATTTATTTCATATGATATTTCAGGGGGGTTGGATACATTTCTCTTTATGTAATGGAGGTACAGCTATTGCCCAGTATTTTAGTACCAGAAAAACCATTAAATGTTTATGTTAACAAGTACTTAGTGCTTCCTTTGCAAATCACAAACCTTTTTGTGGGGAGAATGACTACAAAACATGTCTTACTCAAATGTCAAGGGAACAATAAATACAAAATCAGAAGAAAGAGATTTTCTATGTTCTAAAATTCATTTAGAATAACCTGAAATCTGCAAAGTTACCCCTTTGTTTATTTTTAGTTTTTTATTTGAGATCTTGCGATGTTGTCATCATATCCTATAGAAACAAATCACGCAGGAAAGTTTTGTTGGATTTTAGTTAGATTTTTTAAAATATGCTAGTGGTGTGCCTTTAGTATCATACTTCTGTGAAGGACACACTGAAACATTATGATTTTTCAGAAGAGGAATGACCTTAGAAGTAAAAGAATCAATATATGCTGTACCTTCAGAAAGTATTTACCTCCTTCAATTTCTCAACAATTTGTTATGTTGCAAGCTCAAATAGAAAAACATTTATTAGGGATTTATTGTCAACTGATCTATATGGTCTATACTATTTTTTATGATGTGGAGTTAAAGTTCTGGAAATGTATATTTTTTTTAAATATAACTTACTAGAAAATGCCTTAATTTGATTAGTAATTAAATTGACAGTGGTAGCTACTGCATTGCCCATGTGCATCTAATTTCCTTGTGCAATCACTCTTAAACATGAATGGAGTCTACCTGTGGTTCAATACATTGACATGATTTCAGAAGAAATACTGTATAACTCATCAAAGGGGTCCCCCAGCTGACAATGCATGTCATGGAAAAACACTAAAAGGAAGACCAAGGAGCTTCTGTACAACTCCATGACAGAATTGTGGGGAGGTATAGCTCTGGGGAGGGATATAAAAACATGTCTAGGGTGTTGAAAGTTCCCAGGAGTACAGTCAGGTCTATCATAAGGAAATGTAAAGAAAACAAAACCAGCCTGACTCTTCCTACAGCAGGCCATCCACACAAAAATAGCAACCGGGCAAGAAAGACGTTGGTCTGAAAAGAGACCAAGAAATCAGTGAGCATCCTGTCAGAACTACAGGGCTCCATGACCGAGATGGGAGACCTTGTCCAGCAAACAACAATCTCTGTAGCACTATGCAGATTTAGCGTCAAAGACGGCTGAGTGGCGAGATGGAAGCTGGCGTTTACAAAAAGGTCGGTCGCAGACCCTGAGACAGAGTGACAACAAATTCCCTGGTCTGATGAGAGAGGAACTGAACTCTTCTGCCTCAATTGCTATGCCTAGTTGCAAACCAAACTCAGCTCATCACCAGCGTAACACCATCCCCGCCATAAAGCACGGCCCTGCATGCATCTTTGCTCCAGTCTAAGGTCTTTGACTGACTGAAGAAGGTTCTCCTCAAATATTTACATGCATTAGGCTCCGTTCATTCTTCCCTTTATCCTGAAAAGTGCCCCAGTCCCTTCCACTAAAAAACATCCCCACAAGATTACCTACATGTTGGTAATGGCTTGATGAACATTGTTTCCTCCTTTCTGTGTGCTGCACACAGGCATTCCACTTCTAGTGTGCCTGTTGAATTGAACTGAATAATTGAACCAATGAACTGATCCTAAAACCCTTATTTTTCATTAATAGCAGAAAGAAAATAGATGTAAAAAAAGAACAACAACAGTTTTTATGTGAAAGGGCAGTCCAGTTATGCCCAAATGCATTAAAACAGCAAAATAAATAAGTAATGCAACGTCTAACTTTAATTCCAAGGTAATGTTAATATCCATTGCAACTATTAGAGTTTGAGCTCTAACAAAATGTATGAAAATACAGGAAGTTACAGGAATGTCTATGGAAATATTTAAAAAAGCCAGACCATTTCTTCAGTTTTATATTAGCCATTATTTTCTATAGTCAACCTAGATAGTGGTCTATTTCTGAGGGTTGATTGAGACGAGAGAAACTTGATTAGCTCACCGATTTTGTTTTTATGTTTGTCTCCCCCTGGTGGATTTCTTTAATGAACGCAGCAGGGAAAACGAGCTGACAGTTCAGTTCGGTTTATTGTCATCTGCGTAAGTGCAATGAAATGCTTCTTTACATGTAGGCTCCAGTACAAAGACAAAGGCGTTAAAGGAATAGTTATAGTGCGATAGTGCAATAGCGCGAAATTGGTTGTAGTTCGTGTGCATGAGGACTGGCTGCATGTCGATTCTATCACCTTACAAAGTAAGTTATACAGTTCTGAGAAAAAGTTTGTGAACCCCGTGGAATTATTTCTGCATGAATGGCTCCTAAAATGTACTGTGATCTTCATCTAAGTCATAATAATAAACAACGGGAGTCTTATTTAACAAACAACACGCACAACATTTTACAACGTCATATTTAAGTTATAATATATTATATTATAATATAATGTTATATTTATTGAACAAATGGTTTAAACAATCAAGGTCATTGATGGAAAAAGTATGTGAAGCCTTATATTTAGGAACTAGTGGAACCTTCTTTATTGGCAATTGACTCACATAGAACAAACCTATTTCTGAAACAAATAGAACAAAGTGTTTCCGAAAACACTGGCCATTATATGCATACTTAAAGTCAATATAGCGACAGAAATCTGTTTCACTACACCCACTTTGATCAATTCGTGAGAGGATATTATTGTTGTAAGTCTTAATTTTCACTGAAGTACAAAACAGATTCAACTAAAATAAATGAAAAATGTACAAGAAATTGTAAAATATATATTTTGTAAATGTCATAAAGATCTTGATCTTACGCATCGCATGTTATCTGACAATAGAAGGTTTTAATTTAAAAAATACGAAATAATAAGACCTGAAGACTGCATATCACAAGACTTCTGTAAATTCACTTTAAATTTTGAAAAACTTGGAAAAACGTTTTTAAAAGTCAGATAAGTTAAAAAATAAAGACGATTCAATCTAACACTAATGTTCTACCATAATTGAACTAATCGTTTTAAGATGATGCGAATACTAGAAATAGTAATATAGTAATAATTATTACATAACTAACATTTTTCTGAAAAGAAAATGTACCATTGACATAGCTGCTTTGAAAAAAAAACCATCAGACAATAAAACATGGAGACAAAGCAAAAATACAAATTCCATTTAAATTAAATCAATGAAGAAACCGAACGACGCCACCCTCAATTTAAGTGCGTATGGCAAACTAGGTTGCCTATCAACTTCCGCTGAGGCGCCTAGGAACTGAAATCAAGAAGCTCGCGTTTTTCACGGACATTTTTCGGGGGGTGAATTGTTGCATGTGTCGAGTTCTGAATTTGAGGTCGTTTAACATTGTAGCTGGGTTTCTTTTTGTTCTAATAAATCAATTCTGTTGCCCCCGGAAACTGAGGGGTGATACGTATTTATTTTGGGGCATTTGTTAAAAATTACTGGATAAAACGCACAGCCACTGTATTATTTTGAACGGTACGTACAGTATAGATACTAGTGGAGGTCATTAAAAAACATTCCTGAATATGAGATGATCTGTTTGCTTTGCTTTTGTATCTGCATGTGATTTTTAAATAGATGCATTAGTACTTTCACGTATTCTCTGTATGTGTGTGGCGCACGCCTTTTTAAGAATACTGCTCGTCTTACTACCGATATCTTTCGATCTGTAGTAAGTAAATGTGTTACGTACGCGATGTTTCAGAAGTATAGGCGAGGATGCTTTGATTTTACTTATACTGGTATGAAAATCAAATGATTAAACATGCTACCCTACCGCTATAATAGTGGCTCTAGTCAAAAATCGTTTAATTAGTTTCTATGCATACAATATATTAGTATTAGTATTCAACTACACCCTTTTGGTTGAACGGCAGTCGTTTTCAAGATAGTCCCGTGTTTTGTTTATTAGCTAGTTTATGGTACAGGAAATTTTTTTTTTACTGATTCTTAACATTATTTCTGTCGACGCCGCTCATGCTAGAATTTGGATGTAATCATAAGAGACGCGTGAACATTTTGTTTTTCACGTTTCTCCTGTATATTTCCTCTCGTACAGGGGGAAGCCAGGGATGTCAACGCTGTCCAACTATGCCATGCGAATGGCGCGTCTCGGCGCTCGTATCTTTGGGGAGGTGGCACAGCCCACAGACAGCCGCTCGATGAAGGTGGTCGAACTGTTCAAGGATCAGCCCTTAGCTCTCAGGAAGGAAGTGTATGACTGGTATCCTGAGCACAAGACCTATTATGCCCTGACCAGGAAACTCCGGTTCTTTGGCCTCTTCAGGTACACCTTATGTGATCAGGGACAGAGTGACATGGCAGAGTGTGCAGGCTAGGAAGTTGTAAGAGAAACCAGTACGCAATGAGTATTGGTAGCAGCATACAGGAAGTGGATTAATGCTAATGCAGTGCAAGAATTCATTTAATAACAGAACAGAATGGGCCTCTTTTTCCATTGATCCATTTTTCCCTGCTTTTCCCTTGTCTCCCTGCTGCTTGGGTCAGATATAATAGCAGCTTGTAGAATACCCAGCAGCACCTCGAGAAGCTGCTGATTCTTAATGTGCTCCGGCTGTACAAGGTGGTAAAACATTTTACCTGGCTTGAGTTCCCTTGGGTTAATTTTGTGTGTATCCCTTTGGAAACGGATGTGGGTGGATGCTGTGCAGAAAAAGGTTACAAATCTATAGTGACACTAACATTGTTTCAGATGTGTCGAAGAAAAAGGCATTTGCAGAATGTAAACTTCTAAAGATTTTGCAGCATGTTTATTGTCATATTAAAACTTGTATCTAATTGCACTACTGCAAGTCGTTGAACCTGCATAAGAAAATACAGGGCTTTTTTTGGATAGAAATCTTGCTGGTAATCCAGGGTTGATTTTTTTAAATGTATTTCCTTTGATACCTTACTTATCATCTAACGTCTTGTGTTTCCAACCAGAGATGAACACGAGGATTTCAAGGAGGAAATGCGTCGATTGAGAAAACTCCGTGGCAAGGGGAAACCGAAGAAAGGGGAAGGAAAGAGAGCCATGAAAAAGAAATAGGCTGCAATATGCACTCCCTGATAAGGAAGGCTTTCTAGACCAACGGTGAATTTCGTTGCACAGCACTGACCAATTAAGGACTTACGCTCTGTTGCACTAAACCTTCCATCTAGTGCAAAGGCAGATTTTTGCAAGACTTCTTAATTAACAAATAACTGTCAGCAGTGTGAAAACTGTTGTTTTCCATGTTTAATAGAAAATTTCAGTGTCTGACAGAAAAAATGGGTGTTGTGCTGTACTGCACGTTTGTTTCACACACCTGGTGGACAGATAAATTGTGATAATTGTCGTCATGTTAGTGTTTCATACTGCAGAGTTGTAAAACTGGGTAATTCATCTTTCATGTCCCAAAAAAAAAACTTTTTGAGGTAGCCCTTTCAGAGCGAAATACATAAACAATCATCCTGTACGCGTTTGTGTGGTGCTGTTCATTTGGGAGAATTCCAAGGTGCTCTACTGTATGTTTGAAGCAGCTCTGCTTGGATGCTGTGTGATTCTGATTAATCTCTAGCAGCAACAAAGGGTAATTGATGTAGCCTTTTCTGCTCTGGTTAGTTTGGGGCGATGCGGTGGCTCTGTGGCTAAGGATCTGCGTCTGTGGCTGGAAGGTTGCCGGTTTGTATCCCCCGGAAGAATCCTACTCCTTTGGGCCCCTGAGCAAGGCCCTAAACCCCAACCACTTCAGGGGCGTCGTATAAATTGCTAACCCTGCGCTCTGACCCCAAGCTTCTCTCCCTGTCGTGTGTCTCATGGAGAGCAAGTTGGGGTGTGTGAAAAAAGACAAATTCCTAATACAAGAAATTGTATATGGCCAATAAAGTGATCTTATTTTGAAAACAGTTTTCATTTTAATACATGACTGAATTTCCGTAGTTTATAGACAGCTGTCATAACTGAAAATGTCATTCATAAACATGAATTTGTTTACTGCTGCAGTTTAATTTTGTTTATAATATACTGCAGGCTGCTGAATGCGATCAGTATCTGCAGTACATGCATATCAAGCAATTCAGTCCTATATACAAAAATGAATTAAGGAGTGTATTAAAAGTGGAATACACTTTTGCTGCATTTGAACTTGTGTTATCATGTCGTGTTTGTTCAATTCTTATTATTTAAGAACACAAAATGGGGGATGTGTAGTTGGTGCTGAGCATTATTATAAACGTTTTCCCAGCCACAGGATGCATATTATTCACTTTTAAATAATATCAGAAGGGCCAGTGATCACACAGTATATACAGCTCCTCTTCCACTGCTGCTCTTCTCCCTGCTGGTTAACCAGAGACATTTTTGTTTGAGTTGGATGAAAATGAGGCACCATTAGTGTTACAGCTAACTGTTTAGCTCATAGCAATTCCAATTGACAAAAAAAGCCTTTTGTCAATAGATGTGTGTATTGTTGTAAAAGAATCAGTTTGATTGAAAAGTAGGGTTCTGTTTCTTAACTGGGAGACCTTGTTAGTATTTAACCTGTTTTTTTGTATATGACAGAAAATTACATTGAAAATGTTACTATAGGAAGTCACAGCATTCAGAAATTATTGGAAACCTTTCTTTGTTTATAATGGTTTTCTGTATGATGACTTTAAACTATTTTAAAAATGTGGATCTTGATGGATTGCTAAATGTATCTAGGATATCAACAAATATTAATTAAGATTGAAGTAGTTCAGGTGGGTAGCTGCATCAGCATGCGTAGTCTGCAAAGGAACAAGTAATAGGTTTATTCCATGCTGAAAAGAGAAGAAAGAAAACACGTTTCAGCTGTGAAGCCTTCTTCAGGTGTGAGAAAGAGGACAGACAGCAAAGATTAAATAGCACAGAAGAACAAAAGCTGAGAGAGGAGGGGCAAAGAAGCCTATTGCTAGTAATATAAACCTATAACTTGTTCTTTATTAATTAAGATTTACTAGGTTTTGATTCAAATATACATTTTTAAATGGCTTTTTCCTTAATATTGACATGTACCTCAGTAAAATCAGTCTATCTAAATTTTTGCCTTGATGCATAAAAGAGTAGTTAGTGTAATATTTTAATGGTGAGAGTAGTTGATTACTGCACCTTTAAAGAGGAGTCGATTCTGGTGCATGTGCCTAACGCTGAGTACAACACTGCTACTGTATGATGATGTGTTGTTACAGTATTTTGATTAAAAAAAAAGGTATTTTAGTGTAAGAATTATTTTATTTTGGCCTTTTGCAATATCAGTTATGGTGCAATTGTTGGTGTGGTGGAGAAGAATACTGAAGAACACAAGAGGGAGACAGTACTTCCATGTAATGGCAGTTTTTCAAGAAATCATCTTCAGTTTTGCAGCTAAAAGGCAAAGAATAACTAGAATAAAGCTGTGAGAACAATGTCCATATTTCATTTAAATTACATAATGCTGGCAAACAGTAGAAATCAATGCTCATTGTTCTTCTGCAAGACATTAATGTATATTTTCAAGTCACATGCTAAAGTCGTAGCTTCATAATGTTAGGGGTAAATTCAGTTGAAATGGAAAATTTACCATGGTAAATTGTTAAAAATCTTTTATATGCCATAATGACCTGAAAAGGCTTGATGGGTTACTGTTGCACTGTTATATTGGTGTCATGGGTTATAATCACTGTGAGTATCCATATGCACATTGATAATTTACCTAAACTGAAAAGTTATGATAAAGATGACAATGATGCTTTTTTTTAAAGCTGCCCTGCCTTACAAGTTGGAAAACGGGCATTTTCTCTGGGAGCAAGACTAAGTACAGTTTGTTTTTCCCAGGCTCACCATGAATCAGTTCAAGTAATTTAATCTAATATGTGCTTGTCTGCTATCTGCTAAACTACATTAAAGCCACACAAACCGTAAAGAGTAATCTGCCAAACCTCTGACTGCTCCTTCTCAGTCATGTCCACCACATTACTATCATTACTCAGGCAATTCACTATGATTATATGCCTTTTACAACTTGTATTAATCAGCCATTATTTATATTTACTATATGAGCTTCCATTCTTTCATTCTCCGATCTCTGCGACCCATCCATCCATTTTCTGTTCACTGCGTCCAACTCAGGGTTGCGGGGAAGCCAGAGCCTATACTGTATCACAGCAAGCTGGAAACCACAATGTTTTGAAAAAACATAGAGTTCATACTGTAGAGTTCCAATAGCAAGCGTTCAAGTGGGAATTCCTGACATGTCTACTGTATGTTGACGCAGTCTAAGAAGTACAGTGTCATTTGAAGATTGGTACTGTCAAATGTGTGTTTTAAAAAAATTGAAAAGCAATTCAAAAAGATGTCATGTGACGATTTTCTTTTATTTCAGAAATAAGGAATCAGTTGATTTGTTTAATGTGGGGTGCAATTGCTATAATGGTGGCAAGCCATTCTTAAAGATCTATAATGTAAGAAAGGTTACAAACAAGGGGAAGAAATTTGGTTATCTTGGTCATTTTCTATTTTAGTTGCTAAGTAAATCTAAATGTTATCCTGCAGTTAGAAAAACCCATTTTGAATCTTAACCACCTGCCTGGGAAACCTTTCAGATACACATAACTCTTTGTGTAAAGACATATTTCCTATTGTCCATCATTAATTCCTTTTTAATTTCCAGGTGTGTTGCTATTTCACTGGTGAGTACGTAATAGTCACTTTGGTTGACCCTACGTACACTGCTTGAAGTACTGTATACTTACATCATATCTCACCTTTGTTTAATTTCTTTAAGATTAACCTGTTTTAATCTTTTTGTTTATGACCTCCTGAGATCAGGAATCATCCTTCTTCTTCTGCTGTGAACATTGCAGCTGATCTGACATACTGCTGAAGTCATTCATCAGCGTGGATCAATGGGATTGAATCAGTTATCTGCTAATTGCCAAACACTTGGATGGGCTTAATGGTCTGCTCTCTTTTGAAGCCTTTCTTATGCTCTTTCTAAAGAAATAATGTCCTTTTTGTGATATGGTGACCACAAGTGAGCACACTATTTTCAACTGTAAAGTCTGAGCAATGAGGAAAAGCTAGTATACACCCTGGACAAAAAACACAGCAGGGACAACCTCCTAATTAGCCTAGTAGTATTTGTGGGAAGAAACCCACACAATCTCAGGGGAAACATGCAAACTCCATACAGAAAACACCCCAGAAATTGAACCCAGGACCACAGCACTGCCAGGCAGCAATGCTTACCACTGTGCCACCATGCTGTTCCTCTATAGCATCAGCATATATAGCTAGTTTTCTAACTATTTCAAAATCTAAATAATTGAAAAAGATAAAAAAGACTGATGCACCTAAAACAGATCCTTGTGGCACAACACGGCTCACTGTTAAAGCATTCTGGAATTGTTAATATATGAATTCTAGCAACGTAGTTGAACAAACCCTTTCAAAATCTCTTAAAATTCCCATGTGTGTAAGTGTTCTTATGTAGGTCTATTATTTTCTTAAATTCACCAGGTATAACACTGAGCACTTGATAGTTTCATGTTTCAGGTTTGTCCCCCTACTTAAAAATTAGTGGTACATTTTTGCATTTAACAAATTTCCATTTTAGGTGAGACCTAGCTAGAGGCCAATGAATAATATTCCAGATTTCCTTCAATATGATCTAGAAAATATCATCAGACTCCTGTAAATCCTTAGTGACAGTTATTACAGAAATTACAGAACTCATACTATGTGCAGCATGTTATCTCTTTTACATCTTCGGTTGTAAAATGTGCATGAAAGATTAATTTAGTATGCTTACTATTTCTTTATCATATTGTCTTTTTAATCCTGTTTTATTTTATAAACTGCTCTAATTTCCACAGTTGTTTTATTGTTGCTCTACTATAAACATTCTTTGCTGTTGCTATTTTTTTTGTTCTCTATCTGCCATTCCAATGTCCCTTTTCATCTGTAACTTACTGTACTCTTTATCTTTCAATTTGAATTGTGTTTCTTAGGTATCGCCATCCTTCTGCTATTGACCTTGTATCCATCTTTTCCCAGTTCACCACTTGTAAGGTTGACCTCGTTTAGTTGTAGTCTGTTTAACTAAAAGTTTAAAGATGAATGACAGATTCCAATTTTAGAGATGAAAAACTCAAAAAGAAAAAATGGTGGTTACAATTTCTCCGTGGTTCTATCTCATCTGTCTTCATTATTATGTCAAGGTTTTTTGAAATGATTAGGTCAATAAGAGTGTTCTCACCAGAACTGGCCTGTTATAAGCACCCTGCCCACCATTTCCCTAGTTTAGGTACTCCTCAACTACTCTGTGCATGTGCTTCCCTGATCCGTTGTGCTCCTCTGGTTAAAGTACTCTGGTTAATGTTCTGCTGCTAAAGATCCCATTTGTTGCAGAAAGTTCCTCATTGGCCTATTAACCTAAATTCTACTCACTTGCTTGCCTAGGCTTGTACCTGGTG